CAGTAAAAAATATTTTAGTGATCTTGAATTGTCTTACTCCTGAGTCTGTCTTAACTCATAAAGTAAGTACAGTGTTCCATAATCATTCCAAGGTGTGCTGTGTATTTTAGATCCCGTGATCTTGAAAACCACGATTTATACAGTATTTCTATTTCGGTTTGGTTGTAATATGTACAGTACAGTACACAAGATCCTGGTACTTAAAGATACATTTAAAACTTCTGTGAAAATAATTTCAGTTACACATTTAAATTACTGTATTACAATCCTAATTGGAACCCGTTTGTACATTTAATACATATTTAAATCAGATGGGTTCTTTGGTACTGTCCCACTTCTGTGTAGACACCTTTACTATTTAGCAAATATACAGTATATCAAAAAGAATGTATATCAAAGGGGCTCTTAATCATAATCTGTTAGAGGATATCACCTTGTTATTCTTTTGTGTAAGATCTGTAATGTATTCTTTATTTTTTTCAAAACATTAGTTCCTTATTGACATAGGATTTAGTTATTAATACACATACGATAAACTAAAATCCACATTTTGTTTTGGAACATACAGTAAGCAGGCAAAATTCTCAAAACAATTCTGGTTTATGTATTTGCTGCAAAGGAGTAATACAAATATTCCCATGCCAAAGAAATCTCGCATAGCATAAAAAGATGATTATACATTTGCCAATAAGTATTGCAACTTGGCAGCCTCATCTTCTGCAGGAAACAAAACAAAGGGGGTTAATTGAATTGCATCAGTTTTAAAATTTCTGTAATGGGGGATAGGATGTGATAAAGTAGGGAGAGTTGCATTTAAAAATAAATATTTCTGGGAACACTTTTTAACCTCCTGTTGGAACGTGCTGACATTGCCGTTTTTCTAGGTCCATATATACTGCAAATGCTGTCATGCTGTCTTAGATCAAGTCAAAACAGATTCAGTCCAGTCTCAGGCATCTACACCCTGTTATCCTTTCTTCTGTGGGTACACAATGCACAGATACTACCCATGTTGCATGGTAGACAACACCCACATTCTGTATGATGCATTCAAAGCCTTATTCTACTGTACTTGCTTCACAATTGCATAAACCTGGTGTAATTTTAGGAAAATTACTGTATTGGACACAAGTTTGGCTTTTCTACAACATGCTTTTTTTTCTTCTGATTCTATTGCACCGATAATTAACCTTATTAGTTAATCATGTCGAATGTCTTAAAAGTTTAATAACATTAGAAGTTTTAATACAAATAAGAGGAGATTATGCAGACCATCTAGGCCTTCTGGCAGTTATTAGCCAATTCAGCTGAGATCTCATCTAGTTGTTTCATGAAAGTTGCCTGTGTACTGGCTTTCACATCACGCTGGGTAGAATGTGCCATATTTCCACCACCTTTATATGTACTGTACAGTAGATCTACAGTAAGTAAACTAATGAACAACAGTTGATCCAGCCAATTACTAACTTTGAGACTTTATAATAACGAATGTTTTGCACACATTTGTGTAATTCAATTCAATTTATTTTTATATAGCACCTTTCACAACAAGGTTCCCCCAAGGCACTTAACAATGCAAGTGACCATACTGTACATGTTGTGAATACAAAACAGAAAAGACCAGAAGAGGAGAGAAACCAAAAACTCCTTAGTAAGGAGAAAAAAAAAACTCTAGGGGTCCAAGGTCAACTGGCTACCCAACCCCTTTGGATATGCTAACATTATACAATTAAAAAAAGGAATAAATGAATGAGGGTATCATTGAACTAGTACAGAGACAATTACCACCAGATCCCATGCAGATCAACTCCATGTGCTACAGATTTTACAGTTCAGGTCTCCAGTGTTATCAGGGGACATGCAGCATGTTTTTTTACTTGTCTAGTCTTTCTTCTGCAGAGACAGCTGTACTTGACACCTCTATAACTCTGTGTGAGCTACAGGAGGCATGACAGTACACCATAAAGCGTAAATCTCCTGGCAATGATGGAGTCCCTCATGAATTCTTTTTCACCAATTCCTGTTCAATTTTGCGTGACACGATTCATGTGGCAATGGTGGCACGGTGGCACAGAGGTTAGCATGGCTGTTTTGCGCTGGGGCCCTGGGTTCGTTTCCAAACTTGGGGTACAATCTCTGTGGAGTTTGTACTGTATGTTGTCCCCATGTTTTCCTATGTCCTACCACAATCCAAAAATATACTGGTGGGTTAAATTGCTTCGGGGAAAACTGGACTTTGTGTGAGTGTGTGTGTTTGCCAGACAGACAGGAAGAATGTAGTTCCCCCACTTATTGCCATTGCTCCAGCTTCCCTACAATCCTGAATTGGAAGAAGTAGTTAGAAAATGGATGGACAGTGCAAATCGCCACAGAGAAAGTTTTTTTTTGGAGATATGTTATATCTCTATTGAAGAAAAAAGTTTATGGTGAAAGATAATCCATTTTGTGCAAGCTATCGGCATGATCTGCCCCAGTTCTGTAGTATAATCACATGCTGATAGAGCTTTCATCCAGTTTGAATGGGAATATCTGCAGTAAAGTCAATTCTGCACTAAATATCTTAGGGTTAGAGTTTCACTCTAACCCATGTACAGTATATGCTATTATGCCCATTAAGAAACAAACTGCCCTTTTAAACCTTGCTGTGGACTCAGAAAAAAATGAGTCTGTTTCCAAATGACAGACAAACGAATAACCAAAATTGCCTAAATGATTGCTTTCCCATTATGTTATGGAGGAAAAAGTCCTCCATTTCCCGTTATGGAGGGAAATCACAATCCAAACATTTTTGTCAAGCAAATCCTTCACAAATGTGATTTAAAGGTTAACTAGGTTTTTAACATAAGAATGACTTAACTAATTCTTAACAAATTAATTAATTGCTTACACTTATATAGTGCTTTTCTGGACACTTCACTCAAAGCGCTTTACAGGTAATGGGGACTCCCCTCCACCACCACCAATGTGCAGCCCCACCTGGATGATGCGACGGCAGCCATAGTGCGCCAGAACACTCACCACACATCAGCTATTAGTGGGGAGGAGAGCAGAGTAATGAAGCCAATTCATAGATGGGGATTATTAGGAGGCCATGATTGGTAAGGGCCAATGGGAAATTTGGGCAGGACACTGGGGTTATACCCCTACTCTTTTCGAGAAACGCCCTGGGATTTTTAATGACCACAGAGACCTCAGTTTTATGTCTCATCCGAAGGACGGCGCCTATTTACAATATAGTGTTCCCGTCACTATACTGGGGCATTAGGACTCACACAGACTTCAGGATGAGCGCCCCCTGCTGGTCACACTAACACCGCTTCCAGCGGCAACCTTAGTTTTTACCAGGAGGTCTCCCTACTGACCAGGCTCACACCTGCTTAGCTTCAGTGGGCTGCCAGTGGGCTGCCAGTTGTGAGTTGCAGGCTGATATGGCTGCTGGCCAAATGACAGGCATTTCTGCCTGATATTGACCCCCAGTTACAAATAATCTGATGCAAATAAAAGGAAAGTCAAATGACCCTAAATATGCCCTTGATGATAATCTGGACTGAAAAATGACCATAATTGGAGATTCATACTAAGTACAGTACAGTATATGATGCAACATCTAGAATCTATATACTGTACAGTTAGACAGTTTTAATACAAAACAATTTCCTTTTTCACTTGTATTGCAATAAAATTGTCCAATAATTTCACCAGTCCAGATCAACAGTGTGCATTTATTATATTTGGCTCCAATTTCACTTATTCATCTATCCGACAATTCTAACCACTTCTTCCAATTCAAAGACAGAGCCTATTACAGCAATCAACAGGCACAAGGCAAGGTACATTCTGGAATATAAGACAGGACATTACAGAGCAGACACACAGACACAAAAAATTTCCCAGAAGCCAATTAACCTGCCAGTATTTGGACTGTGGGAGGAAACCAGGACACCTGGAGGAACACAGGATCCCAACTCTGCTAGGCAGCAATGCAAACCACTGAACCACTGTGCTGGTTGACACATCCAATTTCATTTAATTTGGCTTAGAAGTTTCAGGGTCTTAACATACAGTACTGTACATTATGTCCCTGCCTTCTGTTACAGAATATTCACGGGAAATAAGACCAACCATATTGTAGATACATGTAAGACTACTGTTGGACTACATTATGTTCCTCCAAAATACTTAAATGTAAACTATATATATTGTCCTATATATGTAAGCAAATTATTTATTACTAATTGAAACCCAGGTATTTTAACTGAAAATAAGGTCACATATTTGAATTGATCCAATACGTATTAAAATACCATATGTATCAATACGCAAAAACATAACCTAAGTGACCTTCGTAAATATTAAATTTCATGTAAGACAGGTATTTCACAATTAAGAATTTAGCGTTAAGAAAACCAAAAAATGCCAAAGGCTGATAACGGCGACATTTATGAAAAAATTAAACCATTTAATGACCCAAACACATAACCCTTTAGGATGTTGCATTTGTCAGCTATTATTACGCAGACAGCTACATTTGAGGTCACATACTACAAGAGACAAAACAGTACACCATACGGACATACAGTATAATGCAGTCAATGACATATGATACAAATGTTCATCATTTGCGTTATCTTCTAGGTATTTTGTAGTAAGCATAATCCGCCTTCCTATGGCTCTACTGTCATATTTATATAGAATGCAAAATACCAACCAATTGTTTATCTAACTCTTGCAAGTAGCAATCTGTAGATTCCCATCAAACGATTAAAAATCTAAACAGTATGTCGTTTCAGTGAATACACATTCGCTTGATGAAATGTACCGCAAGAAATGTACTGTATATTGCTAGTCTTCTGACACGAACAAGTTAATACACCTTAATGCATCTCCTTGCAGTTGCTTCCAAAGAAACACCAAAGCCGTCACCTTCACTTCACAATTTCACTCGCTATGCAAAACTCGTAACTTACAGTACATAAATGTAGTAGACAGAGAATTCTCACCAATCCAGCCAGCTACAGTCCTCCCGCCTCCTAGTTGCCTTTTAGCACTTAACAGAAGGTTGGTGAATCCAGTTCAAAGTTAAAGAAAACGAAAGCTGATCATATAATGTCAGGTTACTTTAAATGTTTTTGCCAGTCTCGCACCAATTCTGCAGTACCGCCAGGATAAGCAGCACTGTAGGCAGTCAAGCAATTTCTATGAGAGAAGCCGCTGTCCAAGTTGCGCTTTTTTTATTGTACATCCAATTCGCTTCTGTCTAATCGCAAGGGACTGGCGCTGTGCTTGGATTTTGTGATCACTGTTATTCCCGTCGTAATTTTGAAGCAAGAATAGGAGCGGACAAGCTTGCAAGGATATTTCTCTCAGGGTCGAGAGCTCCACTGGCTGATTCCATCTTCTGAATGCTGTCAGCGCCTGAGCCTTTTTACGAAACAGCCAATCAGAGGCCGAAAAGCCGAAAATCTGATACACTATTCAGTTTTCTCACACATATGCATAGGCATAGGACTTGTTAATTGTCATTCCGCCTTGCATTTCGATTTACACTGTGTTTAAAACCAAGGAAAATGAAGAATGGATTTGCCACACTGCCAAATAAAAAAAGGCTCCACACATCAAGCTGTTGATGCTTAGGTTTTTATGGAATTGTTTAGTGTCAGTGAAATTGTGTAGTGTTTAATAAGCAATTATTTAATATTTGCTAATGTACACCCTTCCGTAGTTAAGAGTTTAGTTTGGAATATACAGGGTTCCCAACAATTTTCCAGTTAACTGTATTCTTTATCTGTATCAATTAATCATATCCTATACAGTACATCAGGATATTCTTCTTACCATTTAAGATATGAAAAATCAGGAAAATAAAAGATTATGTTTAAAGGTGATGTTAATGTAGACTCCCCTTTTATTCCTGGCAACACGGTACTAAAAGGTTTGGACACTAAAGTGCAGTACTGTAGTGAGCTGATTTAACATTTTTAAGATGGACTTGGCTTTATAGCAATCCTAGTCAAGGTGTGCTGTATATGTACTGTAGATACTGTACCATATACAGTATATAATAGATATATTGTCAATTTAAGAGAAGGAAAGACACTATTAAATGGGATATAGTGATTACAATTAACAATGTGTTAATTAGCAGAATTTATGATAAATGCAGTATATATTCCAATTAAGTCAGAAATAAAATCTGAAGAGCCTTGCTGCAGACATCACTTCAGGAAACGTATTTCAACACTACAAAAACACACCCTTCCTCCATGCCTGTTCTTTCAGACGCTGGACACATATCCTGTTGTTGTTGCTTTAGTTCTCTCACATCAATCACTCTGAGGACATTTTTTTTTCTCACACTCCACCCTCATCTGAAACTAAGCTGAAGCTCATACAGAATGTTGGAGTTTTCTTCACTAAAAAGAGTCTGTAATGCTCTGGGCTCATGTGCTTAGTCATGCAGGATATTCTGAATTTTGAAAGAGATTACATGCTAAATGTCTTTAAAGGGACAAAAATCGAAACAGCATATCAAAGAAGGAGTATGTGTGACATATATTTTAATATGTCCAGATATGATAAAAAAAAAGGCTCCTGCCTGGTGAGATATTAATTCTATGGTATTTGCCACAGCATTTCTTTTTAAATTGAGGTATTTGCCTAAACTATTTTTGTAATCTGAAGTCTTTGTATTATTTTACACATACAAAAAACAAGAAAGACAATCACACTTCCCCCTTTTATATATGATGTCAATAAATATTATGTCAAATAAGACTTTGAGATGAAAACATTGTCACTTTGTTTTGTTTTGTTTTGTTTTTTTTTGTCGGGAGGAGATGACACCTCAATGAAATCAATCCAAAACACATTACTTTATAAGTATGTTAGCTGTCACATTGCTTTATGCTACACTATATGGCTTTTCTACTCCAGCAATGTCACTATATAACTATATCTCAAATACTGTAGGTGAGGTGAATAGTCAAATCAAATTAGGGTACTTTTCTACTTTGAGTACCTACTGTAAATATGATGAGTTTTTTTTTCTTCCCCTAGCTGCAATATGACACCATAACTTTTGTTCTGAAGTATGAAAAAGACATAGTGTCTGTGGGTAGATTGTAGGAGATTCCCTTAAATCAAGAATGTTGAGAAACAGTGTGGTAAAACAGTAAAAGCAGTGTAGTGTTGTTGGACACTGCTTTACACATTGCGAATGGTGCTGCATGGAAGATTGAAAGCTATGATATTTTTATAAAAGATATAATATTTTGAAACTGAAGAAAAAAATCAAGGAAAGTCCTTATGAAAATGGGGAGAGATGCATTAAAAATATATTGAATTAAGATACAACAAAACAGTATGTACTGCATGTAATGAATAATATAATAAATGGAGGCAGGCATACTGTAGGTCAAGTGAAGAACTCCCTTCAGTCAGCTAGCTGGATATTTTAAAGATCACATTCCCAAACTGTAAATTATAGTTGATTTAAGGATGCAAAGAATCTGACACCTTGTGCACAGATTTTTATAGTTTTAATTCTACTAGGCCTGTAATTACCAAATCAGCCTATTCACTTAGCTGAAGCAGTTCAATATTTCTTTGGGGTCTTAAGCAGAAATTGATTTTAAAATATGCATACAGTCTACTGGATTGTGCCCCTAAAGCAGTGATGTTGTGCACCACTAATTAAAATCACTGATGTGTTTGATTGTCTTTAAAGTACTTTAATTATTTCATGATTTACAGTATGTTTCTTTTTTTCACTGAAATTTATAAGACTCGCTAATGAATTCAATCTGTACTTTACAAATAACACATGAGAAAAAATTATTGAAAATTGATCAGCATTGTTTGAACCTCAATATTTTACCAAATCCCATTTTTACATGCTGAACTAAATCTCGTGATTTAGTGCTGAACTCATGAGATCAATGATACAGACCTTGCTGTTGGTAATCTTCACCAAATCTTACCAAATGCTTGCTTAGTTGATGGCTTGTGAGCTGATTTCAGATTTTTCCAACTCACCAGTCCCCAAAGATATGTATCATTTTTAAACTGTTAACATTACATCTCGCAGTTTTTGCAGCTGCTTAGATTGCAATTTACAGTAATATATTTCCATATTTCTGTCAATAAATAATTTATACTACCAATATTTGATGCATTATTGAGCACATGGAGTTCCAGTGGTTTGATTAATAAGCGTTAGATGGCCTTCCTAAAAGTTATTTAACATAACCTAGATGCAAGGGTCTCAAATTTTATACAATGTCAGGCAAAATGGCATAGTGTAAGGAGTATATTACAGATCACCAGAATTGTGTATTAAAAATCATGTAATGTCATGTAATTTAATCAGGAACGTATAAATGTTCTCCATATAGATTGGGCCAAGCCATCATCGATGTCAACATCTAAAACTGAGCGGCTAGCTAACATAACATACCTAATGACTGTTTTCTTACTCAACTTAATCATTAATAATATTTACTTGTATTAATATAGTGTTTATCCATTTAATAGGGGACCCACTTCACTCACCAGTATAATACAGCACCCATCAGCATGATGTGTGGCAGCCAATACAGTATGTCCCAGCATTCCCAGTATACAGGTGGAGAAGTAAGAACTTACTTCACTGATGAAATTAAGTACGGAATTTAGGGAGGCCAAATTGTACAAGCCCGGAATGGAATTTAGCCATGACACTTGGACTAACAGTCAGACTCATTCAAAAAGGGCAATGGAATCTTTAATTTAATTAAGTAAACTATGACCTCAGTCTCCGGTATCCTGAGGGATACAGTTAGCACCTTCCAGGAACAGGTTGGCTCTGTTATGAAAAGAAAGATCAGGAGAGGAGGAGAAAAGATTAGCTTTTCCCAACTCCAAAAGTATTCCTATGGTTAGAGGTGTAGCTGTAAGGTGGTATCCACAATGCTGACAGCTACCTGTAGGTTGGGATGGTTTCAGGCCTAAATAAGATTTTCTGTCAGGAACTGAGGTGCTTAGCATCCCTGATCAAACAGGGTCGGCTGAATATAGTTACTCTGCTTGTAAAAGTGATTAATAGTGGTTAAAGATATTACACATTAAAACCAATTGTTATATATCTGGTTAATGGTTTGGTTTGAGGCTGAGGGAAAGACAGGGGTACTTTTCTTTTCTGTGTCTTTTCACCAACCCTGAAGCTCTCTGGGCTTATATGGCCTTCAGACACCGTCGCTGACTGGAAGGGACAGGAAGGGAGATGGCACCAATGACGTGTAGTTCCACTAAGTGCCTAGAGATAGCTGCTAGGGAAATTGACCTTACAGTCAGGGGATCAACATCCCAATAAACATTGCATCACAACGAGGTTGTTACTAGCAACACTACTGATAATCATCATTAGTTATAAATGCCTATTTTTCATGTTTGTTCAAAAAACATCCACTGTGTTCACTTGGTCATTGCCTTTAAAGATTTGGAATACTTACAGTATATAACGTCACTCACAGTCCTCTCTGTTAAAGATGAAAAAGGGTCTGTTCCTTCAGCTTGTCACTGTAGGACATCTCCTTTAGCCCAGGAATGTATCTGGTTGCTCTTCCCTGGATGGATTCCCAGGCGATTATCTTTTCCATGAAATGCATGATATGATATTTTTATGATATGATTAAATATCATCTTATTCGTGCATTGCACTATTTTAACAAAACCTACACTAACTGGATCCATTAATTACATAACCCCAGCAAAGCTTTCACCTCACTCCAGACTCTCCATCTGGCCAGTGAAGCAATCTGTATGTAGCAAACCACAAAGCAGGGTCAAGAGTCCTAAGCAAAACACAACGTGGGAGCACAGTTGCGGATCAGAGCTAAACTCTATAAGAGAGTACAGAACACTGCTCGGTCTGGAACGCTGCTTAAATAGTCTGCTTCACCAGGAGGCAGGGGATGTGGTGATTAGTCACTGGTGAAGCAAGCTTCCTGATTGTGTTTCCAGAGCTACCAACCTTACTAACAGGTGGAAGGGTTGTGACCTGCTTCCATAGCAGAACTAGCCTATCCTGCAGCTCTCTCCCAAGGACGGGCTTGATAATTTCGCTATAGGTGGTCCTCTAGTTCACATTACGTCCAATAATTGTTTCCATATATGTACAGTAGTAGAAGTCAGAGTTATTGGTATATAATTATTTAGTTTGATTTTGCCACCCTTGATATGGATGAGCACAACATTAGCAATTCCCCAGTCTAATGGTACTGCCCCAGTCCTGAATGATTTTCATCAATAGCTTCTAAATAAAATCTGTTTCCTTGAGTGCACAAGCTAGCACTCCATGAGGTCCTGGAAATGTTTCTAGTAACCAGAACACTTCAGTGTCTTCTACGCTAATATTGTT